GATGGGGCAGATATAAGTGCAATTAAAATGATCCTCCAAAAAACAACTGGATGGGTTGTATCAACAGCGAATATGTGCTTCAGAAAGAAGGTGTTTAGTTCGCTTACCTGAAACATTTTGTTTACGCTTCTGAAACGTTTATTCAAAAACAACTATTCTAAGTCCACTTTCAACCGTATACTAATTTCTTCGTGAAATACCCTAAGGACGGTCAAAAAGTTATAGCAACAGAAAGTACATTCATAAAAGCTATGAACAATTCTGAAAACGAACCAGCCAGATCATAACGAAAGCATAAATGGCAAATATTCGACGTAACCAGTTACCAGTCAACCAGTTACCACTTAACCAGTCAACCTTAGTCCAACTTTCTGGCGTGAACTGCAGAATCGCACGTTTGAACTTACCTCGTGTTGTTTTTATGTTCCTGAATTCAGTTTTCATTTCATCAATTCAGTTTTCATGCTCAAAGTAATTAAGCTTATTAGCAACTGTTAAATTTTGATATACACCAGAGACATTAAGTAATACCATGAACAGATAATTAGATACAAACCAAATCATAGCCTAGCTCAGACTCGACAACCTCAACGATGTTCATACATCATTCAATTCCGAGCAAAACTTTTCCACAAGCGGGACTTAAGTTCGCGATGTACCAATTTTCGGTCAAATGCCTTGCCACTCAGCTATCACGGAGACCGCTCAGCCAGATCTCAGGCTCGAATCCAGCTTGCGAGAGGAAGTTTTGCTCGGAACCGAATGGTGCATCGAGACATGAAACAACACCGTCAAACAACGAGCACATATGAGCGGATTATTCAGAAGCGATATTATCACGAAGATAAGATGTTTCAATTTGGCTGTTTGTAAATAACCGATTTTATACGAGTCCGGATTGATGTGCCATATAATAGTAATGAATTTTGGAGTGTTCTCACAGCGCTATTAAAATATGCGACAAGAATGAAACGAAAATAATGAGCACAGATGATTGAATAAGATATTTTATGAGTGAAATAACATACTTGATACTTTCCCAATGGAACATTCTCATTTCCAAATATTCCGCAACCTTTATGCCAAGCAAAATACCCAATCCATTACACAACAGTATATCTAATATAATCGCATCCCACCAACATTCTTCGAAATTTGGCAGAAGATGGGCGAAGAAATACTTTAAAATATTTTCATTTCATTTCATTTTGTCACCATCGCATATCACTATTACTATCACCATCACAATGATAAATTTCAATAATTCCTTCACGAAAACTTCAAAATACAAAAAGAACGAATTAATTATTAACTCAAATCAAAAGTGCGTTCCGAGATTGAAGTCGTAAGTGCGATAATGCCAATGAACTCAAATATGACGAATCGTAAATACGATAAACTCACCTCAGTCACTTCCCAAGCAATACTAATATACCAACAAATGATTGAATGTCTTATAAGTAATGCTTTCATTGCCCATCCTAAAAAGTGACCAAGCACAAATATATCCATATAGCTCCAAATACGCTCCACTGTTATATCCGAGCAGTTGGCGGCATATGTCTTCAAAGGTTATCATTATTGATAGAAAGATGTACTTTTTTCTGACAATGTTGATCACAACATCAATGACAGCCTTTTCAAAACCATTGATAATACTTCTATATTAATACCACTGATGACTGTTAGATAAAAAAATCGTCAAACATCAACTGTTTCCAAGACAATATTACGCGAGTGTCAGTAATGTAAATATGATCACGAATCCAGCCACAAACTCACCAATAAACATATAATAAATAACCTTTTCTTCAAGTTTGTCCCTACTTAAACCTTCCGGATCAAGCCATTTAAATACCAACTTTATATCATTGAAATTTTGGAACAACGCGAACTGTAGAATCATAACATAAATCACGCTCAATCCAAATATGATACGCCAAAAAACAGGGTGTGGGCGAATGAAAGGGCCTGTAATGCATTACAATCAAATCGAAAAGTGTTTTGTTGATTGCAAGGAGTGGGTTTCACTCTTTATAACATCTCACAGTCATAACAAACCGAAAAGTTGAACGATCAAAATTTAGCGGTAATTCAGGAACAGAATATTAGACAGAAAATCAGACTTTTCTAATCTTTTAATTTTTCATTAACGATCTACAAATCTCCAATCGTGAGAATAAAATTAATTGTTGAGAAATTCTGAAACCATTTGGAAATGCAAGTGCACTAATGACCAGAAATAGTACACCGGTTGCAATAAGACCAATAAAAGCATTGTCATCTGTTCGTTCATTATCTCTGAAATTTCAAAAAGTCATTCATATATCAAGTATTATATCATGATTTATTGACTGCCAAATCCAATTCACTTTGGAATCTAAATTCGTATAATTGTAATCATCTAGAAGAAGGATATACATATTTGAGAGAGGCAAATTATAAATTGATTGCACTCTTCTAGTTTAGCTTCCACAATGCTTAAATTGAGCAAAATTTTTTTCCCAAATTCAAAATCTCTCATTTCAATTTACTGTGTGCGTTGATCAATTCATCGCATCTCTGTTTAATTGTATTTTGTTTCATCCCTTCTCTTGTTGTGCGATATTGTCATTTCCTTATGCGTCTACACACGTGCAACGTTTTCTATGATGAACACGTCACTTAGCTACATGTCAGACAATGGTCTTCGATAAGTGTGAATGACACGTTTATGAAAACTATGACTTTGAATTTGGTTTATGTTTCTCGTGGCCCCAGAGATGGCCGTTGAGTTTAAGTTGTGCTCTTCTAGCCCTGTCGAAACTAAGCCCTCTTCATTTTAATTCTGTTTTCCAATTGTTCTAACAGCGATATTGAATTCCACCAAAGATTTTGGACCGACGCGGAATTGAACTTACGCCCTCTGCGCTAATCGGTTCCTCAAAGCACAGCGTTACAATATTACATTATCAGCCCATTGCACGATCATTTCAAATTTATTTACGTACTCTCTTCTCCCAACTGACATCATTTATTTATGCCGGCTTCTCGCGCTAACCGCGACATCCGCATTCCGTAGGGTACATTTCTGTTACCTGCTTCCATAACTTGAATAAACAGTCTTATCTTCCACTCTTTTTTCCAACTAAACTATTTTACAATAAGTTGCGATCTGTACTGAGCCACAGCTTGTTTCTGGATTTGAATCTTTAACTCATCGACTCCACTGCACTAGTGCAAACCCCCGCACCTGAATCTATAAAATTTTTCGA